GGCAAGGCTGGGATGGTCAATTTGGTAAAGTAAATCCGTTGGGCATCTTTGTTTGCCTTTAGACAACAATTCTGATGGCAAAAGAGCCAAACGGGACAGGCACAAAAAAAAATAAATAAATAAATTAATTCATGAATTAATTTTTTGCGTTTTCTCTGTGTTTCTGCCAGGACCACAGGCAGGGCCACTCGCAGGTTGCTTCTGGGCCGCATTTGGCCCGCGGGCTGCCATTTGAATAGGCTTGACGTAGCACATCACTATATACCAGCTAGCCCAACTTCAGTAACCTGACAATAGTCACTGCTGTTTAGTTTTCTGTCTCCATTTATGTTGGAAGTGGTAGCAGAGCTGGTATATCATGTTCAGGTGGAAACAAGCAATCTAACTTTAACTTTAAATTTCATATATTCTGTTTTCATGGATGCCTGGATGTTACACCTGGTAGTGCAGCCACATTGATCATTTTATTAAAGATGAAAGAATTTAGACAGTTTGTAACTCTCAGTGATGCCGCAGAGTTCCTTTGACTTTGGGATCTGCAGCAGAGTTTGGACCTGGAAATGGCTAATGACATCAAACTTAATGGCTGGATAGCATTTCTATTGCTTAATGCACAATTGTGTTGTGAATATCCATCCTTAATCTGTGAAAAAGCACAAGGTTCAGAAGAATTATAGTAATTTAAAAAATGGTACATTTCAGGCTAGAATAGCAAAGGGGAACCTGTCAGCAGAGGAACGAAAGAGAAGGAACAGGGATGATCAAAAAAGAAAGAGAGAAAAAAAAGAAAGAGAGAAAAAATTAACAGCCAGCCTGAGTTGAAGAAAGAGTTTCTCATAAAGGAAAGGGAAAGTCCAGCAAGGTCTAAACACACAACCACAGAGAACTTTAGGAATCAAGGAGTAGTAGGTAGCTACTTGCTGGTGAACTATTAAGATGTAGAACCTGACATGTGCAAAAACAGAATTGTTATGATGTGTCTTGTGATATTACAAAGGTTGTTAAGGTTTAATTGTCATTTTGAAAGAAAGAATATCTTGTTTTCTACTAGTCTGTCACCACCGTCAGCACCTTGTCAACTCCATAATATGGAGTTTATGTTTATTTTTCTCTTTTGGAGAACCATATAGTTTCCTCCCTCATGATCTTCCAATAAAAATACGGAATTTTCTCAATAAATGTGTAATTTGCATGTTGCTTAATATGATTGTTTCTTATACAGATTAAATACAAGCTTCTGAAAATATGTATGACTGTAACTCTAATAATAAAAAGCCAAAACAATCTTACTTTTAAATGTGGTATAATTACTTTGAAAACATATGTGCATAAACAATAGAATAGAGAAGCTGCTAATAGTCAAAATAGCTGAAACAACTTAATTTAAAATATATATTTTTGCATTTCTTTGTGTCTGACGGTGTTGACAAAAACCTTGCATTTCTCCAGCAAAAACATAAATTTTTAAAAAATGTTACACCTGGGAGATTGTACCAAAACATGGTGAGACAGCCAAAACTTTGTGTAACTATTATATGTAAATATGTTTTTGAAAAGTCAAAAAGTATATTTTAGAAAATTAAAACCTGTTTTGTCCCTAATCTCAGGAATCACAGATATGACAGATTTAACCTGGTTACAAACAATTAAATTGTTTAATTGAAGCAGATAAACCAGTTAAAAAAAACAGGAATATGTAAAATAACAAAAAAAAGGTACTGAATAAATCAATAGACAAACACATAATAGATTGTGTTTGTTTATAAATAATTTGTATTCATGCATATCATGTTGATAACACAATACTGATATTTGTAAATAAAAAAATATAACATTTACTAACAATGTAAATTTCTTGCACCTGCCATAGACATCCCCATGACCTCCAAAAGAATTGCCCAGTTGTAAAGTTCAAATGCTGAACGTCTTATTCACGTCCAAGATAGGCCATGGTTGGACGTCCAAATTGTGAACCTAGTTTGGACGCCATATAGATGTCCAGAATTGATCATGGACCAACAGAGCCAATATAGATATGACCTGCACATCTATTCGAAGTCCAATATTTAGGGAGAATGCTTCACTAGAGATAGACCTCTTCACCATGTTTGTGCTGTTATAGAGATTTTTATTGGAAATACCTGACAAATACTCAAAGCCAAAGTCTTCAGTTTTAATGAGTGAAATTTCAGAATTAGTCTATTATTTAGTGTTAATTAGCATTTTCTATGTCTGTGCATCGCGGTAGTTATGTTTATTGATATGGCTTGCTAACAAAGCTAGCATTAGCTGATTAGCATGGTTGTGGCCATAATACTAATGCTGACTTGTCATTACCAGTTTCAAAACACTAAAATGTCACTAATGTTGACAACCAAAACGCTCAGCTTGAATGTTTACAACAAGTCATTTGCTAACTAATGGATGATGTCAGAGTGATCTGTCCATTTTTTATATCCAGTCTATACTTTGAACCCACAATGCACTCCGCTGCCTGCCTTGTGGAGTGACAATACTGCAAAGTGTGCTAATCTCTATCAACAACAAATGGAAATGAATATTCCTTATTGAAAATCATGCAAGAGTGCAGCAGATTTGCAGCTCATATATATGTGAGCCTTCTGAGCTCCAATATACCTTAATGTCTACATGTTGAATCTAGAATTCTTTTTTTATGTTGTGGTGGGTGGCCTGTAATAAATACAGCTGCAGATCCAGTACAGATGAAGCTACAGGCAACCAAGATGGGATACCTGTAAGGCCATAGCTACTGTGGCCAATGATTGTGCAGCCAGGAGGGAGACACTGCATCAAAAAAAAAGTCATATAGTCAGGATATCCCTGTCTGTGTGTGTGTGTGTGTGTGTGTGTGTGTGTGTGTGTGTGTGTGTGTGTGTGTGCGTTTGTGATGTGAGTGAAGGTGGAGGAGCAGATCAGGGCAAGCGGCATGCAGCCAATCAATTCACCTGCACCAAAAAGGGAGGGTGAAAACTGAAAAGCCGGCTGTGTGTGTGTTATGGAGAGGCTTCCCCTTCGCTGGCTGATATATGATGCACTGTGCAGCCCCAAATTACAGTCTGGTATACAAGTGTTTTCTGTTCATTCAGAAATTATAGCAAGCTCCGAGGGCCAGCCTCAGAGCTTCACATGCTGGGGCTGCTGCTCTGATGGAGATGGGTTTGGGGAGCGTGTATGCGCACGTGAAGGGCCTGGCTGAGAGGGAGAAAGAGAGAAAAAAAAAACCTCACCTTTAATGTTGTGTTCGGATAACTAATGGGCACCTTGTGGAAAGTGCTGTTGGAAAGCACAGCCTGCCTGATGTCTTCGAAGATGGTGATGATATCATCCAGTAGGCAGCGCTTGTCCCTGTGGCTCAAGACGCAGAGGTGCGCGAACGTGAAATTGAATCCCTTGTAATTGACGCGCAGATCCAACACCTGCTTGTGGACCTGCAGGACCTGATCGGCCAGCTCCAGGATGTTCCCCCCGGACTTGGCGAGCAGGATCAGCCTGCCATATCTTCCCGGGGTGTGCAAATCCGAGTACAGCTTGTGCTTTGACTGGTCGATTTGAAACAAGCTGTTAGCGAGACTCCGCTCGATCTTGGCGAGGCTGTGAGTCGGGGCGACCAGTACCTCCAGGTCCGTCTCCGGCTTGAATCGGCTCAGCACTGTAGATCCGAAAATGATGGTGAGCACCGCAGGGACGGTGAGGAAGAAAACGGGATGTCTGCTAACGAATAAGCCCAGCCAGTAGAACGAAGCCTTGAGCCCTCTGTGTATCACTTGCCGCAGCATCCTCCACAAAATCCAGCTTGCAGATGCCCCGTCTCCTCCGATGAAGCACATGTGACATCAGACTCCGTTCCCCGGCTTAGTACAATTCGTAAGAGAATTACACCAGGCTACAACACCATGCACACACTCTTACATGCACACACGCTTACACACTCTCACACACACGCACTCGCACACCTGGAAAACAGCACTGCAGCAATTCGCGGCAAGGCGGGCTAACGCGCGCACGCGCGCACGCGCGCACATGCACGCACATAGACGCACGCATACTCAGACAGTCACAAAATCATAGTGCGTGAGCCGAACGAGACGAGTCCACGATGTCTGATCTCAAGCCATTCCGCCTGCGTGTGATGGAGAGAATGCTGCGAGTCTCCTGCTCTGCACCGGCTGCAGTAGCAGCGACGAGCCGCGGCAGTGGGATGTGCATGTGTGTGTGAGTATATGTGTGTATGCCTTCTGTCTGCCTCTACAGCTCTCACACCAGCGGTGGCGCCTGATTTATGTACTTAACTGTAACCATGTGGCGGGGCTGAAGAGGAAGGATGGATGTGGAGGGAGGGAGGAGAGGGGTGACCCGTGGTTATTTTGGGGAACCGGGGAGGCAACATGATAGTTGTAAAATGCTCCTGCAGGTGGCTGAATGACCAGCAGCACTTGGAGAAATGAGTCAGTGTTAGCTTCATGAATGGGGAAAACCCAACTTGTGCAGTGCTTCACGCTGAGTGGTTTGTACAGGCCAGGCATGGTGGTGTAAATGGATCATTCAGCACAGACCTCCCTGATGTTTTTTGTTTTTTTTAAAGCATGTCTTTGTAAGTTGTCCAGTTATTCACATTCATATTGCCAAAATCCTCGACAATTTAAATGGACATTTGAGAAGTGCATAAAGATATTTCTTGATATATCTTTGTATTTGGATGGACACTAACATGGACTGCAGTTCTCAGAAATGACCTTGATTCATCCTTTTCTTAGAATTGGTATAGACATGCTAAAGGGAGCAAAGGTCCAACAAGACCAAATGGCAGGTTGTCTTGGTAAATTAATTGATTCCTGTGTAGGGCTTTTCTACTCCACTGAAGCACTCTTTAAACAACATGCCTCATTCACAAAAGCACTTTTTTCTATGCCTAAGTGCTTTATATTTAACATTCACACACAGTTACAATCGATGGTTTAGTATCTTGCCAAAGGATGCTTTGGCATGCATCCTGGAGCAACAGCCAAGAATTAAACCACCAACCTTCCAACCAGCCAATAACCTGCGCTAGTTCCTGCCATCTCAGATCTTAGGGTGACAGTTATCTCTCAAGGACTTAATATTGTAGATGCTGGTGCATCAAGACATCTGTGCCAAAGGAAACCATGTGTATAATCATGAGACGCAGGTGCCATGGCATTATTTTTTTTTTTATTTTTTTTGGCGCAGTATTAGAACTCGTCACAGCAAATTTCAATGAATGCACCTGCTCTTCAGTGGCGCAATCCCAATCTGCAAACTCACAGAATCTGAGGTTCATTCCTGCCAAATGTATGGGGCCTGTCCTACTCTCAAGTCTTTAAGTGCATATGGGCACTCATGAGTCAGCATATACTGCAAACCTTCCCTTGGTACTTGTCCAGAGATCTTAGTGACATTAGTTATTTTTCAATATATCCTGCCCCCCACAAAATGTACACAAACCAGAAAAGGATTATATAGTTTACCAGCACCAACTGGCACTTAGACTACAAAAATGGGAAAATTAATATGAAGTGGGGTTTTTTTTATTCAAACAAACATGAATCTTTGAGATCTAGTAACAGGAACCTGAGTAGAGTTGTGATCGTGGATGTGATCGTTGCTATTCTCTCCATATAAAACACAGTCACACAAAAGGCTGTTTATTAACAAAAGAATACTAATAGGAGGCTGTTGATTATGACTCTTAGCATAAGATGTCTACTTCTGTAACAGCAAACCCATAGCATAGAGTTCATGTGCATGGTGGTGTGGTGGTTAGTGCAGTTGCCTTATTTCAAGAATGTCCTGGGTTTGAATCCACATCTGACTGGGGTTTTTCTGTGTGATGTTCACATGTTCTCCACATATAGTAGCGTAGGCTCCACTTTCCCCTCCCCCACCCAGTATTCCTGAATTGGAGAAGATTAATTAACTGATTGATGGACAGTGTGAAGAATAGTAACACTATGTCTGTGGAGCAGATGACATCTGTGGTAATTTAGAACACCTTTTACTTAAGCTTACGTCCATAGACACACTGGAACAATTCCAAATTGGGTTCTATACCCCCCACTCAATGACAAGTGTGACTTTGTGTGGAGTCTGACTTGCTGGTAAAGGAGTCTCTTAATGTAGATGTACAGTAGTAAGCTTTAAGACACCCATTAATGTAGCAGAAAGAGGAACTTCTGATCAGCATATGTAACATGGGCTACAATAGGTGTAGACCTGTTGTGAGAGTACTTTGTAATCCAGTTCTAATCAGGACGTTTGTTTCAGAGAAGGCTGGATAATTTCTTTCCATTTGTGGGAACAGCACTAGCTAGTGGTGTTCTGTCAGGACAAGAAAGGCTTGACAAATCTAAAAATAGATATTAATAAAAGGTACCAAAGCAAATCAATCGCTCCCTCATCTTGGACAGTGTTGTCATAAAACTTCTCGCCTGTTTGCATCTATCCTTTACATTACTGCCATCTTGTAGCCACAGTTGGCTATTGCGCTGAAAGCTGCACTTGTTTTGTGTTCATAGGAAACTGCAGCTGTCTCAATTGTGGACAATCTGAGTCCAGGAGCATTTTCTGGTGATTGCACTTGTACATTGTGGATAAACCTCTGGTCTTTCACGGTTAATTGATGGGAGATCAGTCTGCAAGACAAGCTGCTGCTGGCTCAGCTTTCATTGCTCTGAGGTCAGTTACGTTATGCCCTTTGTGTGGAAACACAGCTAGCATTAGCAAGTGAAAGAGCTTTAGCGATTTATCACTGTAACAGAGGAGCTTCATCTTCGTGAACAGCTTGTACAACATGTGTGATGTAGAGAATGGAGTCTGAAAAAGTTGTTATTAACTAAGATAATACATTAGCAATAAAATCTGTGACAATAATAGAAATATGATTGCAGCTCTGACCATTCTATCTAAGCAGGCAAGTTGATCAGGTGCAAAGCTTTTTTCAGATTATGATCTATTAAAAAATTGTCCTAATGTAATATGTTTAACCAACAATTTTTCCAACACTCCGCCTTTATTTTTCATTCATATTTTAATCCCCACTGTAGATATGGACAATTTCCCATGTCATAGACTGGCCGAGCTTTTTAATTCAGGTGATTTTTTAATTATATTATCAATCAAAAACTGTAGAATCAAAAGTGTTAAGGTTTTTGCAGAAGAGTTTACCCCAGGGAATATTACACTGGACAATTTTCTTTTTTTTTTTTTCCTTTTGTTTTGCAACTTGAGTAAATCCTAGCCAAAGTCTACTTTAGTGTCTGCTGTTAGTGCCATGCTTAAAATGTTTTTTCATTGAAGTTATGCCACACCTGGATTCATCTCAATGAGAAACGATGGAACTAAGGCACTTTGAGCACACTAGACAACCCCTGAAACAAAGGTATAGAAATACATTTCTATAGAGTCTATCTAGTATTTCTCCACTTAATTGCTACTCTGCTACTGGCATGCTGATCATCAGTTTGGGATAATTAAATGTTTCCGTTATTCACTGATGGCTGATGGACCATCATGAAACAAAGGGACAAATCTGAAGAATATGGTTGTAATTGTGGAAGCAGAAAATAATGTAATTCAGCAAATCCTGGATCCAAGGGCTCAAGTGATAGATTTTAAAACACAGACAAATATAAAACAGACAAAAATGTTTCAAAATTACTACCAAGTGCTTGACTGGCCAGCCAATCCGCCTCTATGACCTGAAGCCCATAGAGAATCTGTGGGGCATTGTCCAGAGGAAGGACATCTGAGCCAAAAATCAAAAGTGACCTGGGCTTCAATAACATCTTAGCAATATGAGATAAACAACCTATCCTATTGTGACACACTCAGCTCAGATATACAAAATTGGGGCTAGTAATGGTTGCTAGTAGCATAATTTAAATAATAAATTCCAGAATGTAATAACACTAGCAAAGAGTATAAATAATGCTAAAACATCCCAAAAGATCTATAAATCGACTGGAATTCACACCACTTCCTCTAATTAGGAAAAAAAATACCACTACTTCTACTAAAATATTAATAACTATAATTATCTTTGTCACGGCGGGGTGCATCGGTGTGTTTGTTGGAGCGGACCCAAAAGCAGACACTGGAGGCAAGGAGCTGGTTGGCAAACTGAAGGCGAGCCTTTATTTCGGCTGAAAACATGAAACTATGAAACACCAAGCATAACTATGATAAACTATGACGAACCTATGACTGACCATGATAACAAAAGGTAAAACTATGACTGTGACTAGATGACATGAGGGAAATTCGCAGACATCCTGACAATGAACAGTAAGAGACAAAGGACTTAAATACACACATGAGGTGATCAGGGGAAGTGGAGACACATGAGGAAACAGCTGACTAGGATGAACATAATGATGCACAGGAAATGTAAACTAAAACACAACGACATGAAAACTGGACTTTCAAAATAAACAGGAAAACATGACAAGACACATCTCCAAAAGTTTATTCTGTTCATCTGGACGTAGCGTTTTGTGGGAGAAACGTTTCGTCATTCATCCAAGTGACTTTTTCAGTCTCAGCTGACTGGAGGTTTCCCCAATCCCCAAGTCTACTGGCCTGTAGGTGTAAATAGACTGCAGAGTGGTCTCGTATGACGTTACATCTCTCTTCACTTGCATCCCAGTCACGGAAGCGTTGGAGGTAGTCCGTAAGAGATTACAGGATGACACCAACCTCAGCAACAGCACCACTCTCAGCATCGACCAAATGTGTTTGCTTTTGGAACTGTATCTTCATTCCACCTACTTCACATACAAGGGTCAGTTCTACAGGCAGAAACATGGGTGTGCCATGGGCTCTCCAGTTTCACCCATCGTGGCCAATTTGTGCATGGGAGAAGTGGAAAAGAGGGCTTTGCTATCCTACCCTGGAACACCACCAAGCCATTGGTTCAGATATGTGGATGACACCTGGGTGAAAATTAAATCTCAGGACGTACCACAATTCACGGATCACATTAACTCGGTGGATGAACACATCAAATTCACCAGGGAGAATATGAAAAGTGGCAGGTTAGCCTTCTTAGACTGTGAGATTTCCATCAGTAATGGGGGACATCTAAAAGCTGACGTGTACCGTAAACCTACGCATACGGATCAGTATCTAAGGTTTGACTCTCATCATCCACTGTAGCAGTAACTGGGTGTCATCAGGACGCTACAACATAGAGCGAACACCATCCCCACAGACACAGTGGCCAGGGAGGCAGAAGAACAGCACATCAAGAAG